AAAGTTAACCACAATGTTATATGGATCACATACATAAATATTTAGAAATGATGCCAATATAAGCTCATTTTTTGCTTATTTTTGTCATGAAGGTAATTTTATAGTTAAATCATAGGTTCAAATGCTTTGTCAGTTCCATATAATTAAAACTCATGTTAGAGTTAATTACCAATGTATCTCTAAGAGGTTTCTTTTTTGAAGGTTTGGAATCTGGTTGTAACTTAGATTCATTTTATTTTGAAATGATGGGAAAAATAAAGATTTTGGTTTGATTTGGAGTTTTGCATTAAAAATCATTAAAAGCCATTAAATTGAATTACAGTCCGACAGAACACCATAATAGGTGGCCTTCAGTGTTTTCAAGAGAGCAGTCTGAGTCAAAACGTATCCATTAGGCTTTTATAGTACAGCTTCCTGCCTAAAGCTGAGGACTGGAAGATCTTATCAGAGCAGATGGAACTATGAATGGTGATTCCTGCAAAGCAAACTAAATTATGCAATTCTAACTGGATGGATGACAATGTGGCTAAATGTTATTTCATAAACTGAAAAAGAACAGCAAAATACTAACTATTCTGCATATGCAGGAAGGAATAGGGAAATGTGTTTGAAATTGATGTCCCATCTCAAATATCATGGTGCATTTATGCATTGTTTTCCCTTTACTTTGACATGGTTTCACAATGTTTGCAACATGACAATACTCTGTGATTTACTAGGAATTAATTGTGCTGTCTACACTTTGCTCTGATTTTACCATATTTCAACCATTTATGCTGGGGTGTGCAATCTTGGTCCTAGGGGGCAAGTGTGTCTGCAGGTTTTCATTACTATTCAGCTCAGAAATAGCAAAACCAGCTGGTAACTGGTTTAACTGGACACAATCAAAAGCTTCTCCCAGCTCTTCAGGTGCTTCTACTTTAAGGAAACCAAGAATCAAAAGAACCAAGATTGAACGCCCCTAATTTATACACTGCTTTTTGATTAATTTTTCAAATATATTTCCATATATAAGAAAAGAAAGAAAATGAGCTAAATTACTAGACAAAATCATTGGAAGAACTTTAAACCCTGCTATGGAGTATAAAGATAATTATTCATAATTAATATGTCATTTGTGTGCATTAGCTGACATTCAGCATGTAGTATCTATAGCTGTGTGAATGCTTTCCTGTAGTTAAAAAAACTAAGTATAACCATGAAAATTCAGTGTTTGTCATGTTTATTAATAATAAACCATTGCTGATTTTCATCCGAATTCTAGCTAACTGATTTCTGGCATAATTTAGAACCAAGGTCCAATGAAGCAATGTAAGATTTGATGTTTTTTCCACCTTCTTAATAGAATTCTGGAGCAATAATCACCAAGTGGTTTAAAATCTCTGAACATGATATAAAAACTTACAAACTGGTGAGTTTTATATTATGTTAAAGGGGATCATTAAAAATGGGTTGCTTAGCATCAAAATCATCAGTTGCTAAGCATTTGACATACACTTTATTCAACAATTGATTTTAAACAATACAGCAACTGTAGTTTTTTTAACAGATCATTCATTTTGTGTACAGTTATTTCATCCTAAGAGGGCAATGTTACTCTCACTCCATATTCCAAATTTGTGTTGCTCAGGTCTCACTCAGAATTCCTTCACTATCCACTGGGACTCACAGCCAAAGCCACAGGCTCAAATCTTTTATTTTTCAGTGTGAAGCATGCATCCTAGGAAGGAAACTTTGCATTCACAGAATAACACATATGGTTTATATTTGTGCCTGGTTTTTTTATCTGTTGTCCATCATTCGCACAAATATTCACCCCTAAATTGGTGTCAGTAAGGTCACAAAGAGTGCATAATTAAAAAAATAACATGTGAACTAAGTAATTAACAAACCATATGCCTGCTCCATCTCTAGTCCTCAAAAAAGCCTTGACCCACCAACTGTATTTTCTTTAGGTTTTCCAAGGGGAGGTATTTTGAATCACCAACAAAGTGCTTTTTAATTGGCCATATGGCGCTATATCTCTCTCATGTGAGACACCAAAGAGGAAATGAAGAACTAATGATGAGGGGCACTCATGGCCAAACTTTGTCATCAGTCTCAGCAAAACACTAACTGGAACACCAAAATATGCAGGAGAGAGTTTTAAACTGAAGTTGTTCAAGTGTCTCGCATCCTAGTTTTCAATCAATCTTATATATGTTATCAAGTTACTATAACAATTTAATAATAATATTATTTAATTTCTGTGTAAGAGAATATGTAGTGTTGTGCATGATTATGATCATGGAAAGGAAAATGGAAGGAAGTGCAATAACAAGTTAAAAATGAAGAAACCAAACATTTATCTTTCTCAGACTCATAACATTTGCTTATATTCCCAAACTTAAAGAAGTCTTAGAGCGATGCATGAAGTAAGGCATCATGTAGACAGAAGTTAAGGAAAAAAAATTGTCTTTTTAAGGATATGACTTTTATTGATTTTTTATTTGAACATGTCTGTATGTTTAAATGTTTGAAATGGGGCTTGAAAAGAAACAATGTAAATTTGGAAATGTACATACATCTTTTTTACATCTTTGTTTATACAGTTGCTTGGAAATTTACATATTGTGAAGGAACTTATGTTCCCAACAAAAGGAATTACAATTTTATGCAGAAACAGTGAGTCATTTTTCAAATCTAACGTTTTTCATGGTACCTTTTCAGAAGTAATTGAAAATGAATTTTTATGAAGCTCTTTTTTGTAGTTAGGAGATCAAATTGTTAAGGAGATCAAGTTGTATTAGGCACAAATAAAACTCAAATTATATTTGCATCCTTACAAAAGTAGTCTCATATCGAAATTACATATACTGTACCTGTAGACTGCTGATTCTGCAAAGTTCAGACTCTGCAACTAAAGAAACCTTCCGAATTATCTCCAATACTGCAATAGAAATATAATTTGCTATTACATATTGATGTACATGTTATTATTATGCATTACAAAGCTTTTTAAATGTTGATTATGAGGATATTAAATAAAGCAGGTAAAGCAAAATATATATTAAGTACTTTGTTGTGTCCAAAGATAAAACATATTTTAAAAAGAGAAGAAACTGATGGAAAACCTATAAAGAAAATTACATTGTTGTTATAAATGGTGTTGGTGGACAAGCAGATGGTACCCTGTGGACTAGATCATCTAAAAAAAATATTCCAGTATGACAGAAGGTCACTGGTGCTATAGGAGGCCCCATCTTTCAGAAGAGGGCCCTGCCTAACACAGAAAATGTTAAAGGTCCCCTGACACTTTTATTATTAACAGAGATGTTAACCTCAGGATCATGGCCAAAGCCAGTACAGGTTAATAAAATATGGCCTGTTCAGGTTCTTTCAGCCTCAAATCAAATTAAATTCTGTTTTCTGACCATTTATGCCCTTCAACAATGGCCCAGATGTTACACTGCTGACCAAAACCAGGAGGATGTGCCCCAGAACAGTATAGGTGTGTTATTTTAGAAGTGCCCTTATTCTGACATCTTTATCTTCTTAGTTATGATAAAAAGCAACACAACCACTGTGTATATTGTATTGAGCATCTGACACAATACTTCAGACAATGTGTCCCGTTTGATCTCCATAGGGTTTCATATGGTTATACTGCAGGAATTTCTCAAGAGAGAATATACTGTAATCCTTGTGAGAAGCTTGTATAGACCTTGGCAGAAAACTGCATTTTTTAATTTGAAATCATAAATGTGACCTTTTCTAATTAAATGACTTCTATAATTGATATTACTGCCATGTAGTCTTAACCAAGGCCACATACAATTACATTTTACCATACTGTGCCTAGATGGCCTTTTTTTTCCTAATTGAGTTTTAAAAAAAAATGTTTCCACACGATTATCTGTGTTTCATTTCCATTGCTTTTTGACAGGAGAGTTCAAGCAACCAACAAATGATCTAGACTCACAATAGTTAGTGTCAGTACTTTGTTGAACCATAAAAAATTATGAGAGCTATTAAAAATCTCATAATGCTGCCTAGTAGTCCTGAAATAAGATGAGAAAAAGGCTGAAGCAACCAATCTAAATGGCAGCTGTGACAGCACTATTTAGAGAGGGGTGCTTCATAATGACTGTCGGTACGCAAAATTAGAAAAAAATGAAAATTGACACTTTGAAACAAATGTAAAGAGAAATTAGGATGACAAAAAAGGAAATTCATTTTTATTGTTTTTCAAGACGATCATTAAACACTGCTTAAAACTCAGAATCTCTTCACGAAGAACCATGGCAAACACACAAAATTTGTATATTTCATCTACAATACAGTTGTGTTGTGGCTCAAGAAACACTAGTTCTTCCAGACAATCACTACATTATAATACGGAATTAGTTTTTAAATGGTATCCTTTAACTGTTCTGTGAACATATTTCCATGAACAAAGCCAGCTTCAGTAATCTGAAATATAGATTCTCTTGTTCCTTCATACAGTTTAATAATATTTCTAAACGATGTATGAATATATCAGATATTCAGTACTAGATTTACTGTAATCTGTATTAAAGCACTCATGAATTAAAGTTAGAAACATATTATTCTCTCAGATGTAATCCCCAATTCATAACCATAGGAGAAAGACATTCATTTCCAGCTAACTTGCTTACATACTAAATAAGGGTTCTGAGCTTGGCTTGTCCGTTTCTTACATACAATATTTTCATATAAGCTACTGGAACGATTTTCAAGTTGTAGAACTCAGTATCAAGTACAATGACTAAAACAAGTGTGACTCCTAGCGGTGGCTCTTTAAAAAATCGGTTTTCATTTTAAACTATAAAGAACGCAAAAATTTGAGCAGGAAATTTACAAATCAAGAAAATTCGTAAAAAGAGTTCGTGGATTTTGCCCGGCTTGAGACGCAAGTAGTTTCATAGAATTCAAGACACAATTAAACCAATCGGCACACAAGCAAATCTGCACATGAAAGTCAGAATAACTGGACTTACGGTAGAAGACATATTCTGTGTAGCTGGACCAGATCTTGTCATCTGTGTATTGATTGACAAAGGATGCTGTCACCGACGAATTGCAGGCCACCATCTGGAATCCATACTCTGACAGCATGTCAAAAGCTCTCTCAAGGTGTTTGAACTTGAGATAAAACCGGGACGTGTATCTCTCTGGGGGTCTGTCTGGGTCCCTGCTCTCATTCAAAGTGTCCCCAAACACTTCTTTAGCTAAGGAAATCCTCCCGCATATCAAGATTCTCGGCACCCTTCTGAACTTGGCATCAGTCTGACTCTCCCTGCCCATTGTACATGACCCTCTGTACCCCACAGTGATGAACCCATATTTCCTGTCGGATGGTACTAATGATGATGGCGGACATATCCTTTGATCGCTCCCTTGGGATGCTTCTTCGAAATCACTATGAAAAAGGTCGTCCGGACTTTGCTTCAGGTCATCGGGGGTCAAAATTTTGACCAACTCGGGCAGCTGAAAGTATTCCGCCTCCCTCTTTAGTCTGCCTTTTTCTGGGAAGTGGTCAGGCAGGACGACTTGTTTGTCTCTAAGATAGTCTAACACGTACCGAAATAAAAACCCATCTCTGTCGATGAAGTACCGTCCCTTCGTGTCCCGTGCCAAGTCGTTTGAAGGATCCTTTTTAGGCGAGAAAATTTTGCCCAGTAGAGAATTAGGTATGCTAGTTAGGGTGGAATGACGAGTGAAATAAACTTGGCCACCCACATTTAGCTCTACAACATCGGGAAAAGAATTCTGAACAGATCCTTGCTCTTTGGTTTGCGGGTAAGTCCTACAGTTCCCACTCAAAGCCATTGTTTCAGTCATGCACACGAAAATCTTCGAGCCGTTGTCTGTACAGTAATACTTGACTAGAGGAGAGCTTTCCAAAAATATCGGTATTAGTGATTATCAAGCCAGAACATCACTAATAAGGAAAGAAACTACTTCACAAGCTGTTACAGCACTGGGTGAAAAAAAAAATCTTAGAGCCGTAAAATAAAAATAGCAACACATTCACTTCCCAAAGTGTTTCTGGGTAGTTGATGCAAGCATTGGTACAGCTAGATAAATCTCGTTTGATTCATTAAAAAAGAATGAAGGAGTAGAATTTCCAACAGATAACGTATGTTTTATTGGATATGTATAAATGCTTATAACGAATAAATTATTATGCATTTAAAATGCAAGGTATCCGTTTCTAGAATCTCCCCTAGGAGCATTCAAACTAGTTAAAAACGGGGATGGAGGAGGGGAATAACTCGGTAAGATTCCTCAGTCCGATATTAAAATGTAAACAGGCTATAGGTCGATAACTTCAAAAGCGCAGTATTTTTAGATTACTATGTTTCAGAGGCGACGACAGCTGAAGATATATCTTAAGATAAAGTAAATCCTCACCTCGGTCAGTGAAATAATATGTGGTTTCACATATTTCCTTATTTCTAAACACGTTATGTTATAAGTTCACAGCAACTTCATAGTCCTTGGGGCTGGGTAGAACACAACACTGGCGGTATTTCCAACTTATTTGGCGTGATGAGTGATTTGGTTAATCTTTCTGTGGTCCTTAGTAACTTCAGAAAAATTCCACTAATATGACGCAGTTCCACATGGAATTCCACCTTGATCGCCGAAATTTCGCCTCAAGTCGATCTATCCGCAGTCAGAAGCTCAATCGGATCTAAAGCTGCTGTTGTGCGCTGGTGGCTGCACTGATGAAATTGGCTACTGTGTGCGCGCCTCTGTCTGAACTGCCCGAGCCGAGTGTGGAGATGCGATGATGCTCTGGGTGCCTTCAGAGCAGGGTGGTACCGAGTAAAAACGGTTGAGCTGATGTTGCTTCAGCAGTGCAGGGAGAAACCATCCTGGGGAATAAACTCTTACATCATCTTAAAGGAAAATGCTGTCTAAAATTGCCTTACCTCATCGTGTTTTTATTTAGGAAAACGTTCATTTCCATATTTCACCACATCCTACATGAATTAATTAAAAACTAATCTGAATGAATTATCGCGAATGCTGTAAATTAATGACAAATTAATTAATACTTCTGTGAATTTAATTATGTGTTCTCATTGCGTATCTTTACAATAATACATGATGAATCTATCATTTTGACTTAATGCTACAGTATCTTAAAAATAGCCTATGACCAGGGGAGATTAAAGTTACACTCGTTGACTACCGCTCTCTAACATTTTAATCTAATTATTTAAACAATATAATTATTTCGCATTCGTTACAGTTATTTTTTTATTCTTTAGCTAAATTAATAAGTGCTTTGGTGATGGTCCTGAAAGAGGACAGGGGTAAGTTGTAGACTTAAAAATGTGTACATTTTCAATATTTAATTAGCTATTAAGTACCTTTTGCCTGAGCGTTGACTGCGTTCTCGAATCGGGCTTCGCGTTATTTCAGCACCAAGGTCAGCAACTTAACTTTTGGGGTTTTTACTCTTAAATTATTGGGGTTCACCGTCTGAAGCTAAGGATATTTTATTTTTAATTGGAAAACCTTGAACTTTTAAAGAAAGAGTTTTTAATTTGTCAAAAAAACATGAAGATGATCCTTCACATTTTATTTTTCTCCAAGGCATCGGGGGTTAACATTCAGAAGTCAATTAAATACAACTATCGCTGATTTGTACTACATTATGCTTCGTGTTTATGCTAGTTCAGGGGTGCCTGTTTTTGTCCCTGCTTGAGTTGTCAATTAAAAACGTTAATTATTGTCACAGAAAGGTGTAAGAATTGTCTTAATGTTGTCTGCTATTATTTACTCAAAATATTCGCTTCTCTAATAGAACGGGTGTATGAATCACCTTGGCTCATAGTTAGAAGTAATGTATTACAATTATTTAGATAATTTAATGATTAGAACAGCTAAGTAGCTGAGACATTCAGTGGAACAAAAACACAAAGTCATAAACACAAAGGCCCTCCAGGAAATATGTTTGACCCTGCATTAGTTCCTCTCTGGTCTCACTTTTCTATTGGCTCTGATTGGCAGGACTTCAGTATAATTAGCCTCTTAATTGCTGGCTGTAGCAATATTATGTAATGGAGCAGATCAGCATAGACCACATCTTGATTGTTACGTCTTGCATTACTTTTGCCTCGATACCCCAGCAAAAAGTCCATATGGATACAGACTTGTGTGGTTACCCACAAAATAAGATGCTTCTATTTGTATATGCTTCTGTTTCTCTTGAATGAACAACCAAATGGCTCCTGTTTGAAGCTTGCAGACTGCTACAGTGAAATAATGCAAAGCATAAGATATTAAAAAGATATGATGTGTTTATCACCTTGGGCATTTTGGGTAAGGAAAAAACATAATAATCCAGATGTTGAATTTCCTCTGCTGCTAGTACTCTTATTGATTAAACAATTAACTTAAACAAGATTTCAATGAATTCAAAACTCTAATTGCTTGGTTCACATAGTTTAACATTTTCCACATTTGCGGTGCATGCAAAATAGAATTGTTAAATGTTTAACTGAGGGAAAAAGAAACAATTTATTCTCTTCAAACACCCTCAAGTCTGCACTCTAGAAAAAAGATCTGTGAGCCATTAATTTCTCTGCCTTCATCCTAATTTTTCTGGCGTTTTCAGGTTTTATACAAAAAGGATGACTGAAAGTCTTATCAGGAAAGTGTAGTGAAGCGTGTAAAGCCAGCTGATGTACAAGCACAGTTATGCTACTTTGAGCTATTCATTCAGTTTTTTTTCAATGCATAATACTGTATGGGCTGAAGTCATGAAAAAGATCATTTTTGCTTTTTTGAGAGCAGGGTGAGCTTAGAGTTGTACAAAGCATGTTAATATCGATTGTATATTTATAAACAACAGGCACATATTTAAAATAATCCACAATTTGTCTCTCAGAATTAAGTCATAGTTGACAGTCTAAAGTTTGCTAATTACTATTGTCACGTTTTCACTCAATTAATCAATTAGCTGATGTTAAAACAGCTGGATCTCAGGATAGCTCACTGCTTTACAAATTGAAAAAGGTTATACACAAACTGCCCCATGCACCAGATTGACACAGGATTTCTAATTCCACTTCCATGCCTGAGAGCGAATTCTCTCCTTTTGTATAGTAGACCTAACCATCTAAAATAAACCACACTTGTTATGTGTATAGACTAGGGGATTTTTTCTATGGTTAAAATTCAAATATTCTGTCTCTTTAAATAAAGAGAACATGTGTTATCAAAAGGAATAGCTGTTTGTTCAGCTAACAGTTATTTTCAGACTGCTATACTGGTAGAGGATAATCTATAATGCCACTCTGTGAAGGTATTATAAATTAAAGTTATTAAAGCCCAAAAGTTATTAAAAGTCATTTTTCCTTTGCCAAAGTGTCATAACCAATCTGACATTCTCAATAAGAGCAGATCTAATGCATCTTTGTATCATTTTTGTTTCCAATTTCAGATTTAGGCTTGTCTGTATATATTATATATTTGCTACAATATCAAATGGATTTTAAAATCCACAATTTTAATGTCATTATTTTTATCTTTCTCCACCTGAAAGATGGTGAAGTCCAGATTTTCCTTTCAGGGCTGCAGTCTCAGTTAAGTACATCAATCACCTTTATTAACGCTTTCCTTCTTGGGTTTCCTTTTGTTTGCATTTGATGAAGTAATATTCTACCATCTTCATTTATTGCAGTGTTAGAGCCTACTCGAGTGTGTCCTAGATTGAGGGACCATAAGTGTATCAAGAACAAGAAGCAACCATTTCACACAAGTAGCAACTTAATTTGCATCACAACTACAAATTAATATCATACAATTTCTAACAGTAATTTGCTGTGCAATTCTGTGCTGTCCCAGCACTGAAATCATCATCTTTCCTTCTGTTTTTGTAGCCATTAATTGTAATTGTGCAATGTATTGGGACAAGAAGAGGAATAGCTATTGTACAGCTATGAATCTGTATCCTTGTCAGAGAGTCAGCAACTCCTACTGTATATACACAGTATTTTACATGTTATTATTATTTTTTGTCTTTCAATCTGAGAAGGTTGAAACTGTAGAATATCAAAGAAGTTGGAAAGAAATACTCAGAACCCCACCTAGTGGTAAATAATACAAGCCTCTAATGATATTATGATGAAAATCTTTGCACTATTATTGTTGGTCTGTAAAAACTGTTTATAGTCTTCAAAGCAAGTTCTGGTATTGTGATATTTAGAAGCTTTCATCAGGAAGACTCTGAGCACAGACAGTAGCTGTTATTGTTGTTTTTACTGTTTGTGATAGTTTTTTTGGGTTTTCTCTATCAATTCCAAGTAACTCCCAACAAAAAAAATGCAAACAGTTCAATGAAGTTGTGTTATTATTTTATTCTATAAGTTAAGTCAATTGTCTGCCTCTTTTAAAGTCACATTTGGACAAGTCACATGAAGAATCTTTTCAAAATGAGTAAGCTACCCATACTCGATCATACAAAAAACTCAGATTTCACAGATTTGGATTATATAAGAGTCGGCGTTACTTCTCTGACGCCAAGGAGTTTTGTGTAACAAGTTATAGCAGAGTGCCACTACCTGAGTTTCAAACTGTAAAATCTGTTTACATTCCCAGCCCTCAGTAGGTTATTTGATTAGTTGATACGCTAGCAAAATGTCATGTTTCATACTTTTATGTGTTGGGCTGGCACCAAGAAAAAAATCTTTGGGAATAAGAGTATTTCTGCAAATTATATCCTTATAGTCTAAGAGCTTAGTAACTGAGTGCCTGTTTGTGTCTTGAAATCCAACTCTTCATCCTTCGTAAAGAACACCTATGACAACTCAGCAAAAATATTTCATTCACTAGGTTAAATAGTTACAAAATGAAGCTAATAAAAGGGGTTGCTTTCTTAAATATTCATTAATTGAGGAAACAAAAGGTGTGCGAGCATATATAAAAACAGAAGTGAAATTTAGTTAAATAAGTGACATCTTATACATCAGAAACATTAACATAAAGCACTTTGTAGTGTATAATACAAAAGTAGTAGGGGTCAAATAAAGAATTACTGTATTTTGTCACATGACTGCCTAGCAGTAAGGATACCTTAATGCTCTAATGGAATATTGAGTAACTATTAAGACCACAAATGAGAGATTTATTGACTCCACCCCTTTTGTCTGCTCTGCTGGAAGAGGACATTAAGGTTTTCATCAATCAGGGGAAAAATACATTTCGTTTTATGGTTAATCAATCCTCTCTTTTGTCATGCAAAAAAATCTCTCAATATTCTTCTTTTTGATAACTCAGAAATATTTTCCTACTTAATTGCAAGAAGGAAAAGCTTTTATTTTTCCCCAAACTCCAAATTGTTGTATTTCATTTTTCTGCTTACTTCATATTGAGATGAGAACAGAATGTGCAGGAATCTCGGTGCAGTCATTTGTAACTAGGCCACTGCTGTAATCATAAATAAATGCATGCCATGTTTGCACATGTTATGTTTTTTTTTAAAGCTACTTGGCAAGGCAGCTTTGTTCTTACATCAACAGACCCAGCATGAGAATATATATTGATAAAGTTAAAGGTAAATTAGAAAAGAGATTTAGATCAACTGTGATGGAGCAGATTATCTTGCATTTTTGCAGAGTTGTTGTAATTTGCCAGTGTGCCTGACCGGATATCTTTTAGTTTGCTCTATAGAGTTCAACTAACATCTACTAGAAACAGCCTATCCAAATGAGGGAAACATCAAAGTAGATAGAGTAGCTCTGAATTTCCATCATGGCCATTGCTGGACAATATGTAAAATTGTGTTTCTCATTTAATACGGTCACATGTCAAAGGCATAGTTCTTTATTGTTT